GGCCGAAGAGGGTAAGAGGGAGTTATGTGAGGAAAGACACATAGAGGGTGAAAATGTTGAATTGGTGGAAGCCAAGAGTCAAGCAAGTGGGAAGGAAGGGGGAAGAAAAGATACAGACGTCAGGAGGTAAAATTTAGTTTAAAAATAGCAGCTGGTACCACTACCTTAAAGGGGGTGGGGCTCTATACGGCCACAAATAATCAAAGGGAGGAAGGAGAAGCAAAGAATGACTGGGTCTGGGTTGTATCGAAGTATGAAAATTGAAGGGAAGTTGTGGTTACAGAAGGAGGGGAGATGGGTCTCTCCACCTATCTGTCATCGCTTGGATGAGCTTCAGTAATCAGGAAATAAGTTTTCTGGAGAAGATGCACAATTAGGACAGAATTGAAGCAAGGTTAAAAACCAAAGGCACCAGAAGCAGATCTCACCACACAAAGGTTTTTCTTCAAATGAGGATCAACCATCACGAGGTTAGCCAAAGTCAAGAAATATGACTAATATTCTAAAAGAGATTCAGTGAGTGCAAGTCCGGGGATACCTGGTTTGACGACAGAGAGTATTGCCAAACAAAACACAAGAGCAAAAACTTTGGAAATTATCACACAACTAAATGGTAAGGTATGCTCGGATTCTCATGGCTTTAGATCTTCTCCATCTTCTTCAAGGGTGGGGGTGGCTCTGTTAGGGAAGAAGATTTGGGGGGTCGGTGGTATGATGGCGTGGATGGAGAAAGGAGTTTGAAGAGGAAAAGAGCAGAAGACAATCAACAGAGGCTTTACAATAGAAAGAAAAGAATGGTGGTTCAAGGAGACTTGGGGGAAAGGGTTGAAAGGAAAGAATCAGACGAGCATGAGGAGGGTGGAAAGGAAAAGAGGGACGGGGTGAGGAGATAATGGGGCCTGAAGCTTTTTTTTTTTTGAAAGAGTAATAAAAGAAATTTTATTAAAACAAAAAAAAATGCAAGGAAGAGGTGACAAGCAGGCACCTCAACAATACGAAACAAATAAAAACCATCAAAAACAAACTTGAAACTACTACGAATCTGAAAAACAAGTATATTCCACTAGATCTCCTCCGAATCTTGATTGCTACTCTGTGCAAACAGTGGGTCACCAGACCCAATCCGAGACAAGATGTCCAACTGAAGCCACCACACCTTAGCAGATTTGAAACACCACCCCTAACAGGTCATCTCTTTTGGACAAAAGGTTTCTGATCAGGTTCTCACCAAAGATCTCCTGTTTCTCTTCCTCAGTCTTCTCTAGTTCAGCTTAACAACCTCAACCTTCTCCCCTGTACCCAAATCTTTCGAAACTAAGAAATTGACTCTTAACATATCCTCACCTAACACCTCCTCCTCACCCCCCCCCCTTGCATCCCACTCTCTTTCTTTGCCTAGTGGAGCCTGAAGTTATAGAGCTTACAAGGGAAGAAAACACTTAGAAGGGAAAGGTAGGTATTGATCAATTGGTGGACAGACAAGTGGCAATTGGGAAGTCTCTTAGCCTATTCTTTCTAGGGGGGAAAGGGTGGTGAGGAAGGCAGGCAATTGGACAATTTGAAAGAAGTAGAAGGGAAGAATATAACAAAAAGAAAGTTGGAGAAGGGGGTGAGATATGGAAGCAAGGAGAAGGGAGGAGGGAGGAAGCATTTGTTGAGGAAGAGTGGAAGGAGGTTAGGGGAGAATTAATAGGGAAGGGGGAGCCTGAAGTTTGAAGAAAAGAAAGATGAAGGATGTCAATTTGGCTACAAGTGTTTTAGTAGCAATTAGCGAATAGGCAAAGCCTGACAAATAAGCAAGAAGATCGCTGAGGTCAACACTGGGAAGTTTAGGGCTCAAATTTGTATTTTGGATAACTTGTATTGATTGGTCTATGGGCGAATTGTATTGCTTTAGTTGGTTTGGAGGCGTTGGCTTAACACCTGGCTAGTTTGTATCTCTTTTTTCCTTTTCGTGAAATTTTCTTTTGCTGTTAAAAGAGTTTAGTACTCGTATGGGTGGGTCTCTTCAAGGGCGTAATGATTATGATTTGTTTAAGGGCTGACCAGATTTTATGTCCAGTGGTTGGTTGGGGTGTTTAGGTTTGGGTGTTTCAGTTGGGACAAGTTGTAACCTAAGGATGAGGGAGGCTGTTTTTTCGGGTTCTGTTTGATTTTTCTATTGGATGGGTCATTTCTTATCACCATTTTTGTACTCTTTTTTCTTCTTTATTAATAATATTTTCTTTTTACTTATCTTCCAAACTATTGGAAGTGCTTTGATTTTCAACCTGTAAGAGATTTATCTTCAAACTACCCTCTTTGAAGTCTAATCTTCAATGGTGATCAAAGTTATTCTACATCATCTTCCAACTTCATAGTATGGACACTTTCCCCATTACATCAATATTAGAAAATGGAAGCTTTATCCATCATTACAAACATATAAAAGCATAAATAAATGTAAAAATAAATCATTCTATAGGAATAGATAGAATTTACATTAACAACCAATGAAACCCAAAGAAGAAGAAAATAAATCCATAAGTGTAGCACAAAAACGTGGACAATCAAGTTCATGACCACAGAATGAAAATTTTCTTCACCAATCAACTATTATGCTACCTCAAAATACATTCTAGTATTACTCCCAGGTTCTAGCACATAAATACCATACCACAAATAAATAAAATATTAGACTCGCAAAAAAGAGGGTCGAAACCCTCTAGGATTCAGGTATGTAAACCAAGAAAACAAAGTCCAAGAGTCCAAGAAGAAACTTGAAAGTAGCTGATCAAAACAAAAAAGAAGAAACTTGAAAATAAAGAGCAAAGGGTGTTGTTGAACCAATCACCCTCCACCCCCATAAGGTGAGATATTTTAAGTTAACAAGGCTTATATACACAATTACAATATTACTCCTATGGGCAAAGAAATAAATTAAATGATACTACTCTACAAGAGCATAATGATAGTATAGAATCTGTTTACCAAAAACAATAGTATAGGATTTAAATATATACACCTATATCCAGTAACTCTTTTCACAGCAAATAGATTCCTCACACCATCCTTATCAGTCTCATGGCAAATGATAGGTAACATTAAACCAAGTATCTTTCTTATGGAGGAAAGGTTATCCTGGTGAAAAGTGTGTTATCCTCCCTCCCAAATTATCTGCTGTCCTTGTACCCAATCCCGGCAGGAATGGCTGCTATCATTGAAAAGAAGATGAGGGATTTCCTCTGGAGAAGCTGGAAAGTGCAGAAATACCACTTGGTGAACTGGAACAAGGTATGTCAGCCCAAGGCTGTAGGGGGTCTGGGGGTTAGAAGGGCGAAAAGTATCAATACTGCTCTGTTGGGGAAGTGGTTTTGGAGATTTGGGGAAAGTCAAGGAGGGCTGTGGAAAAGGGTGGTGCAGGGCCCAGTATGGTGTTAGAAATATGGGATGGGATCCAGGAACTTCAACTTATTCCTATGGATGCTCGGTTTGGAAAGGTATTGAGAAATCTTACCATTGTTTTGCAAAAGGTGTGAAATCCAAAGTAGGAAATGAGGAGAAAGTCAAATTCTGGAAAGATGTTTGGTATGGGGAGAGACCTTTGAACAAGAGGTTCCCTGTCTTGTTTGAAGTTGCAGCAAACAAGGAAGCTAAGGTTGCTGAAAGTTYGCAAATCCAAGATGATAATGTGGTTTGGATCCCACAATTCAGAAGGAATCTAAATGATTGGGAAGTGGAGGAGTGGATGGAACTCCTGTAACTCCTTTACAGTACTCAAGTGGGGACAACAAGGGCTGATGGTAGAATCTGGAGGAGGGAGAAGACTGGAAAGTTTACAGTCAAATCTTTTTATAAGGCAGTGGACAGTTTTTTTTTTTCGATCAATAACATCATTTTCATTAAATTAAGAGAAGAGAGGGAATAAGTATACAAAGGGGGAGATAAAATAACTTAGCTCCCCAAAAACAGAAAACACAGGGAATGAAGAGAGGGAATAAGGCAGTGGACAGTTCAGAAGGACTTTCAGTTCCAACTCACATCATTTGGAGTAAAAATGTGCCTTCAAAGATTTCCTTTTTTGTATGGACGGCTTACCTCAACAGAATACTTACAAGGGATAACCTCTCTGAGAAAGGTGCTCTGCTGGACTCAAATAGCTGTGTCCTATGTGAAGGACATCTGRAAACAGTGAATCATCTATTAATCCACTGCAAATTTTCTTCAGAGATCTAGAACAGAATCTCACAATTATTTGAAGTGAAAAGTTGCTGCCCAGGTTCAGTACAGGATTTTGTAAAAGGTTGGAGAGTGGAGGGCTTGAGTAAAAGAAAAAGATTAGTTTGGAATTTAACCCCAGCAGTGGTTTTTTGGTGTCTGTGGCAAGAAAGGAACAGTCGGGTTTTCAAAAATAAACAAGTTCTGCTGACTCCATTTTTCAGAAAATTGTGGGAAAGATGTTTTCTTGGTTCTCTGGTAACAGGCTGGTTAAGGGTATAGGTTTTGAGTCCTTTTTTGTACATGATAATCTTTTTGTAAAGCAGGGTGGGGTTCAAGTCAAGAGGGAACAGTTTTCTGGTCTCCTTAGGAACTTTATCTTGCTGTATATTTTGTTCATATTTAATATTGATACTTTACTTTTCTCTCAAAAAAAAAAAAAAACAGTAAACCGTAATACTCAATGACATCTATCATGTATCGTCTTGTATATATGGAAAGGTCAATAATATTTGGCCAAACAATCAAGAAAGTACTAAATAACCAAGTTCTATATTGATGAGTCATCCTGAAGTGAGCCAAACAATCAGCTATGTACCTAGACTCTGACAACTACAAAGATCTTTCCTCTGAATAACTGTACAAAATAACCAAGTTCTATAATGATGATATCATCCTGAAGTGATATTAGTTCCCTTTGCTAACAAAAAGTGTAAACAATCAATGATCCATAAATGTGGACAAGGAATATAAGTGATATCAGTATCTTGACCCAAAAGATCAAGGTACCAATATATACATACCTTCCTAACTTTTATCAGCTTCTTTTCCAGCTCAGCCTTAGCACGTGACTGTCTTCGCCTCAGAATTCCATGATACTGCTTTGCGTTCACATACACAGGCTCTTCTGTCATTTCAAGAGGCAAAGGCATTCTAGTGTGGTGCATCCCAAGTAAATGAGGATGTGCCTGAAACAATTTTTTACATGAATCATTAGGCAGCAATACCCATGTTTATAAACAAATCTGGTGCAAACTTTCCTAATATTGCCTTGTGAATAAAATATCCCATTGATAAATACTTCTACCCACTATAACAGCACTGCAATTTATTCACATAATATAACAAAACACAAAAGAATGTCAATGAAAGTGCACGAAAAAAGATGGATGACCAAAGAGAATGATCTAAGAACTAGAGAAGAACTTAACATTATATTCCACTACTACTACTAAATTTTGTATTCCATTTCTGTCTTAAATAAAAAAAAATTCCATTTTAACAATTATTTTTATTTAATATGATGATTATATAACATAAGAAATGTTCTGAAATATCTTTGACAAAACTCTGTACTTTTTTATCTTTTCTGTTCTATCTTTTTTAAATATTTATTTTTTTTATGAATAATAATAAACTTATTAATTCAGAAGTTGATTTAGAGTTGTGAATTCAAACAACATCGGAGGAAGAGGCGCGAGCTGCAGCCCCTCCTTGAATCTCTTACAAGTAAACTAGGAAAGAAATACAGGAATCACAGCTGAGCCCAAAACAATTCTTCCCTATTTACCCCTTGCTTACATCTGACAAAGTATTTGCTGATCTCCCCACCCACCGTACAGTAACCAACATATTCCTTGTCAACCAACTGAATTTCTTCATTTCATTCTTTTGTGTTCTATCTTTTTTAAATATTTATTATTCAATCATGACATCATGAATTTCTTTGAAAAGTTTGATCATTGACCCACAATTTAAATAAGAAAATAGCTTTGCTTTCGAATCAGTTTTAAATTATATATTTCACCTACATTATATACATAATTTTTACTTATCACACTTAATTTTTGTTTGACATAATTAATATATAATTTTATATATATTCTTTTGATTACTTGTACTTTTTTATTATTTTTAAATATTTATTATTTAACTATTATATCATCAATTAATCCATTTGACCCAAACCACTAACCCACAACCCAWAAAGAAAAATAGTTTGATTTCTAAGTTGACATTAAATTTTGTGTTCCATTTTCATCATTTATAAAAGTACTTCTTACATTTCATACTTCTTTTTGTTCAGTATGATGAATATACAATATTAATGATATGCTCATTCTTTTTATTATTTTGTATTATATATTTTATTTATTTTTATTTTTATTAATTATGGCATTATTTATTAACGAACTTGACCCCAAATGGTTGAATTGCTTACCCACCACTGAGAGGGAAGAAAATGGTTTTGTTTTCAAATTATTTTTCAAAATGTTTATTTTTATATTATTAAAATTAATATTATGGATTTAATTAGTAGAATTTAATGATAAGAAAAATATATCTTAAATATAGGATTTAATAAGAGAATATACCTTAGATATGAGATTTAATGAGAGATAATAGGAAAATAGTTTAACTTCCAATTGGTTTTAAATTTTACATTTCATTTTCACCACTAATAAAAACATTTCTATTTATAATCAATGTTTTAAACTTGTTGTTGACCTGCCCGATTGAACCATTCGAACCATCACTCGGCCTTGATTCTAGGTTTTGTTTTGTTGAAACTCTCCCTTTTGGTTAAAAACCATCTAACTTGGGCAGTTCAACCATTGACTTGTTCGGCCTAGTAACCAAGTTGCATGTTGCGCACTTAATTATGTCCAAACTTTTGGAAGCCATAACTTTGCACTCGACTGGGATTATCTTTTTTTTTCTATTTTGACTAACTTTTCAAGATCTATACGTCCCAAGGGCACTATGTGCCTTGCCTTGCTATTTTCGTGAAATAAAAAACCTTTTTTGGTCCCAAATTGCAATTTTTAATATTTTTTATAAATAAAAAATTTAAAACAGAATTAAAAACATAAATAAATGTAACATAATACATATATTATATGTAATATATGTAAAACATAACTATGATGTATGTAAAACATAATTATACCATTTATTGATAAAATATGTATTTTTACACACACACACACATATAGTGTTGATGCAAAGCAGTTTGGCTCGTTTGACATTGATAGTCCAATTGGTGACTCGTGACCCTAAGGCAAAAGTGGGTCGGTTTTTAAAACACTGCTTATCATACTTATTATTGTTTAATGGAAATATCTATGATACGAGAAAGATATGATAGGGAAAGAGTTTTGACCAATCAAAACCCACCCATGAATTTTGATAAATGACACTTGATTCACTACCACGTTTATGATTCCAATTTATTGGTGAATTATTTTTCCGATATCATATCTTTTCCATATCATAGCCGAACCCTTGTTTAATATGTCAAATATATGATGTTAAAAACGTTCTCATTTTCTAAATTTCTATTTTTTTTCATTTTATATATTTTTAAATTTTATTATTTAATTGTGGCAACATGATTGGCCCATTTGACCCAAATGGTTTAATTTATCACCACCACCTAGATGAAAACACTATTTTTCAGGTAGATTTTAAAGGTATAAGTTTTTATGTTATTGAAATTGTTAATTTATTATGTATGTATTTAATTATAGAACTTAATGATGAGAAGAAACAAAGAAGCCTTAAATATATGATTCAATGAAGGTGAATGCAAATTGATGCCTTAAATGTTGGATTTAATGAGAGATAATTGAATGCATTGAATATCTTAAAATTAACTCTTTTCAACTCATTTAATATCAATAACTAATTACCCTATTTGCCCTCATTTTTTATCATTAAATTTAAATATAGAGGGGTAAGTTTTGTCATCACAAAATTCCAGAAATATTATTGAGGGTATTCGTACTTTTTAAAATGGTATAGATTTTCCAGTTTGTTGGTGTCATATGAATATGTTTAATTGTTAAAGAGCTATGATACCTAGACACCTGCACATGCCTAGCATACCAATGTCAGACAAATACATACCTGATAATAATACCAGATAATAAATGAACACTTGTAGAATATATTTTATAATTTATACCATTAATGCTTTAAAATATATTCAATTATATGTCTTAGCAAATTATAATATAAAAAATTATTAAGTGCTAGAAGCTCAACTAAATTTGCCAAGGTATGGAATTGCACATACCCAGCCAACTGATGCAGAATGAAATAGTTACTTTAGTTCTCAGTTTGGGTTAAAGTAGGAGACAAGGTGTAGTTTTGTTTATCTGAGGTAGATTCAGTACAAGTATAAATACACATTTTAGGAAGATCTTAAATAGTTAGGTTTGGGTTAGCCGGTTAGGTTTACTAAATTATTGGAGTGTTTTTGAAATCAACCAAGAAAAGTGTTATGAGTTTTGATTTCTGAATTTTCTTATTTTGGTTCTCTCTATATTTGTTCTTGTCATTACTACAGTGGCATGAACAGAACCTAATCTTCAAGAATACTTATTTCAGGTTTGGTTTGCTTCCACATCTTATTATTAGAAGTTCCTACATTTCCAGTTAAATTACCAACGGTGTCCCATTTTTCATCATTACCTCTCCATATTTTTACATATTTTGTTGTATATAAACTGATCCATATTCAACTTCCTTTCTGATCAAATATAAGTCTTCAGATTATTTTTTTTTCCCAAAGGAGTTTTTCTCTTGTTTCATCACATGGTTAACATTCATAGCAAACAATTTTCAGAAAGCGCCATTTCCCATAAAACAAATATAATCATGGAGTGACATCTTCAACATAACTCATGGAAAGGGTTTGACAGGAGAAACTGGGGATTAGAAATTTGAACAACAGAATCTCATTTAGATTATTATTCTTGCATACCATAGCCTGATTTCCATAAGCAGCCATTATTCCCCCATAATATGGATCAGAATATGGATATGGTGCACAAGCCTGTAACAAGTGAAAATAACATTTAGAATCGTTTCATTACTCCTTTATAAGAAAAGGCATGCAAAATATGGAATCCATAACATCATGGACTCAAAAATATGAACTCTGAACAACTGCAACAAGCCAGCAACTACATAAATTATGAGAGGTAACCAACAAGTCCTAGTTGGGTGTGCTAAAACAAGATATCTTACAATTGAGTGACCAATGAGTTCAAGCTGGGTATGTGGTACAGCACTTTCACCCATTGTTGGAGGTACTGTAGATGTCAGATGCTGCATACACTGATTTTCTTGTCCATGGTTTCCATCAGAGCCTGAATGAAGTCATGTTAGTACATTATAATGGATCTTATCCATTAGGTGGATAACACAAGTCCCAATAGCTACTATACAAGAAATTATCACAGATATCTCATTAGACAGAATGAATAGCAGATTTGAAGAAGTACCTGAATTTGTTGACCCACCATTCTGTGTTTCTTTACCAACATTAGTTCCCTTTTCCAGGCCACCATTTGCTTGTGTTTGGCCAGCTTTGTTCCCCCCACCACCACTTGGGGGCTCCACTGAAGCAGATTTTGATGCACTCTCACCTAAAACAGCAGGAGGCACAACAGTATACCCAATTGGACGCCACCAAGGTTGAGTGCCAACTGTTGATGAGGGAATGGTTTGTGCATCAGGATCTTTTTGGTTTCCATTGTCAGATTTTGAGTGCATGCTTCCCAACTTTGTTTAGAAAACCTTGAATTCCCTACCCAACAACAAATGAATAATGAATTTAGTCGGTTGATATAGAAAAGAGTAAGCAGAACCAAATGAAACACCTAAACAGAAACAAATTGTATTTGAACCAGTAAGTGATCAACCAATAAAACCAGCAATAATTCATGCAAGATACAGAAAGAGAAACACGCGCAGAAAGGTGAGAAAAGCGAAAAAGATATAACGTTGAGGGGAAGCCGTTCCAAGTAAACCGTGAACTTCTCTCCCGCAAAATCGAAATACCTATTTTTCTCAATTAACAGAACAACTAGGAGATGAACATACTAGCAATCTAGTAGTACACAAAATAGGACTTAAAACTAAAACGAAACCTGCAAGGAACCCGAAGCAACGAAAACTCAAACAGGGGTTTAGAAAAACAACGATCAAAAAATAAAAAAGACGTGACAGCGAACAAGAATCTATAGAACATGTGAACACTCTAATACCCTAAAAGTTCACAACTTTATTAAACATCAAAGCCTAAAATTTACTCAAAGTCAACACTGAATTCTAAAATTTGCAGGAGATCATCAAAGCCCTAACTCAAAAGGAAAAAAAATCACGAAGTATAAGAAAACAAAGTAGCAGAATCTCCATGCAGAATATCATCTCTTGACTCTTCCATGCTGATCAAACTCACAACCAATCAGATAAAACTAAAAGTCTAAAACTACACAAATTAAAAAATTTAAAATAAAAACAACAAAAAAAATACGAAGAAAAAAAATAACCTGACGAACCAATCATCGACCAAAAGTCCTCCTAGAGCAACGCACCAAACAACCAAACCATTAAAATCAAATTCAAAGCCCCCATCCACACATACAAACACGAAAAAAGAGAAAAAGAAAGGAGAGAATATCCGCCGAAACCCTACCCTTCAAAGCCCCGCAAATCGTCGAAACCAAGTAGTAGACAAGCTAAAACCCACAAATCAAAACTGCGAAACTGGATGAGCAGCGAAGATTTACCAATTGAGAACAGTAGTCAAGAAACCCTATAATTCTCTTCTGTTACAGAATTCCAAGCCATCTATGTAAATCCATTTCTCTGCGATTCTCAACGAGAAACTGAAACTGTAGCCCGATGGAAGAAGGAAAAAATAATAATAATTCGAGAAATGGATTAAAATAAAGAAATATATAATGTTTATTTTTTACAGTCACGCTCACGCTAGCGTCGTCTCTCTCTCTCTCTCAGTCTCTCTTCCCTCTCTCTCTGTTAAATTAATTAATTATTTCCCAGAAACTACAAACAAACAAACCCCTTGAAACATTTATTACTTTTAAAAGAGGTTTAATAGAAATTTAGAAAAAGACAGATAAGCCCTATTTTTTTATAAAAATAATATATTTACGTCAACATCCCCTCGCTTTCCAAGTATGACGAATTTGTCCTAGGAAACTGAGCAAAGATTCCCATAAAAATTTAACATGTTTGTATAAAGGGAGAAAGGCCGCGTTTGGTAAAACTTTAATGTAACATTTTGGGGATTTAGCAAAAAATTGCAATCCCATAATATAATAGAGTTCAGATTTGCGCCCCACAATGTCCCGCATGACATCCCTGCCATGTATGGGAAACATTTCCTGATGATGATATCATCGAGTCCGGTACTATCATTGGGAGATGTTCCTAATACACGGCAGAGATGAGCTGTGAGACGTTGTAGGGCACCCCCTTGTGGGGCTAGATGTGAACTCCCCATAATATGCCCCACGGCAGACTCCATTCCTCCCTCTCATCTTTTGCAGCTTCACTATGGGTTTTCTTTTGCAATGAGAGCCAAAATCTCTTGTTCTCTTCAATTCTCTGCTGCATTTGATGCTTTTGGGATCAAAAACAGATCTCCCAGCAGATATTAGCGGTTCATCTTTGCATTATCATAATTTTGCATTAATACAAATAAATTTCCATTGCAATCAAATGCAGCTCTAGGCTCAATTTAGAAAGAGTGTAAATATAAATATTTGCAGTTTAAATGCTTGATTTAGAGATGTTATATACAAGGTTTTGTAGTTAATATATTTATATTTGTACACTACTCAAAACTGAGTAAAAATAAACCAACTGAGGGCTGGTTCGTTAGGTTCAGTTTGGAAGGAGTACAAATGCAAATATGTAAGCGTAAATACATACAGAATAATACAAAATATAAGGTTTTGCACTCTATATATTTGCATTTGTACTCCTTCCAAACTTAGCCTTAGTGTGTTAGCTGGTTTGTTTCAGTATTGACACGGAATCAAATCCCGCAACCAGCACTTTGGGCAAAAAAGGGTTAGGGGGAAGTTATTAATGGTGCATAGCACCGAATACAAAAAAAAAAGTACAAATACAAATATATACAGTTACAGTTCAAATGCACGATTTAGATATAGCATATACAAGGTTTTGCACTTAACATATTTGCATTTGCACACTACTCAAAGCTGAATGCAAATACAAGTTTTAAAAAATACCATATATAAAGTTTTGCACTGTACATATTTATTTGCACTCTTCCCAAATGGAGCCTTAGGCTGTGTTTGGTTGCAATGCAAATAAATTTGCTATGATGCAAAACCATAGCAGTGCAAATGATTTGAGTGTAAATCCTAACCTATTTTTGTTTCAAATTTTAGCTTATTTTGTTTGATTACAATACAAACAAAGTAAATTAAGACACGAAACAGAATAAAGTAAAAGCCAAAACAAAATTAAAGAAGAATATGCATTTTTTACATTTGCATTCCCATACAATTTATACTAGTGCAAATAAATTTACACTACAACCAAACACAGCCTAGTGAGTAAATTATTGGAGGTTGCTATGTTAACTCAATAACTCTTTGATGACTGAAGCTGAATTTGGGTTTTATCATTATACCTTAAAATATTAAAAAATAAATCATTACCAAAAGCCACCTGAGGGCTGGGGCAATGCAACTATATTTCCTCTCAACCTTCTGTTTTTCTTTTATATTCTTTCAAACCAAACACAACCTAAGGGACCATGCATTTTTTCTTCCCACTCTAGCTCATTCAAAACCTTTGTAGCATAAATGAAATGGTAAATTGCTGAAACTTCCTTGGAGTTTTGGACTATTGCTAAAACCTCCCTTGAAGTATGATAATTACAATCACCTCTTCCGAACTTTCTAATATAGTTGCAAGTAGATCCCCTTGTTAGAATTCTCTAAAAAAAGACGTGAAAATATACAAAATACCCATGCAGTTACTATTGAAGCTAATTTCTACAAAAAAAATAATATGAACTTTATGAAAATGGAAAAAAGAAAATTTAAAGTTTCAACTTAACCTTTGAGTAATTTATATGAAGGGCAAATTTGGAAAATAAATCAATTTCAGAAAAGAGATTGGAAGGATTTGGGGTAGCAATTCATATTTACAAAAAAACTTAGAAAATAATCATTTTGGTTGAAGTAATTGTATGCATGTTTTGGACATTTTCATGCCTCTTTTTAGAGGGTTCTAACAAAAGGGGTCAATTTACAATTATGTCAAAAGCTTCAGAGGAGGTGATTGCAATTATCAAATTTCAAAGGAGATTTCAGCAATAATCAGAAACTTGAGAGGAGGTTTCATCAATTGACCCTAAAAGAAAGAAGCCTTTCTTATTCATCTATTGATTTTTAACCAATTGAAGATTTAAATTGAAAAGGGCTTAAATGATTAAAAAAGATAGGGCATAGAAAGAAATGGCACATCTCCTTTGGCTTAAAATACATAAACTAATCTTTTTTAAGCCAAAATACATAAGTTAATGAAGCAAGGATCACCATCTAATTTATTATAAACATGTGGAAGTTTTATACACATCGAAGTTAGTTGCAACTAAATATTTGTGAGAATTTAATAATACATGTCCTTGAACTACAACCATAGAATTAGAAGCTTTAGAATGAAAGAATACTCCTCAATATCCATTATCATTTATGGGTGTTGTTAGTTCAAGTCTGAATTGTAGTTGAGACAATTTTGGAGTTTAGCTCACCAAAAAACTGTAAGGACAATTGTTTACAAGAATGTGATCCGCAGCCCATGAATGTCTAATCCATACACTAAGTTTGTGTTTGGTTTGAATGAAAAAAAAGTAGGAAAAGAAAAGGAAATGTAGGGAAACCTTTAGGCTCTGTTTGTTTGCAATATAAATGCCGAACTGAGGTATTTATATATTGCAGTTTGGGTTTGCAAGTGTTTGTTTGACATACAAAAAAGTAATGATTATTAGATCAAAAATATATTTTCTGACATTTTTGTACTCTGAAAATAAAGCATTAGTGTACTTATTTTTTGGATACAATTTTATATTCTTTTGATAATCAACTTTTTAATCAAAGTTAAGGCATTGGAGCATAAGGTAGTTGGAGCATTTAATTATGGGACCCACACTAAGCACCAATTACAAACAAACAAGATGAGTCATGAGTGCAAAAAACGGTTTAAAATCTGAACCGTATTTACATTCATGAACCGAAAAGAAGATAAATATATAACGTAGATATTTGCGTTTGCATTGCAACCAGACGCAGCCTTATAAACATTGTATAAATTTCCCTATGTTTCCTTTCTTTTCCCTACCTTTTCCAAAGATTCAATCTCTGTTTTTAGTGACACCTCTACAGGAAAAGATTGAATGCTAGTAGATTATGGTTTTGTAACATTTGATTCAGTTACAATTTAAGCCAAATATCAGATGTGGCCCTTTACAGAGTGGACTGGTGAAGTAGGATTTTGGTTTTTTGTCACATCTAGTTGGAACATGGCTTTTATGAATTGAGAATATTACAATTTTGATTGTAGAGTTTATTTATCAGTCCAATGGTTTTCAATCAATGGATAGCCTCATGTTTGAACCCCAAATATCGAAAGTTAGGGGGTATTTATCAATGTGAATGGTTTCGTTTTACCCAAACAAAAACAACCACCACATCGAAAGTTATGTGGTGTTTGCCAATATCAATGGTTTTTCGTTGTGTAGCTTTTAAGTCTTTTACATTATCCACATTGATTAAAATTCCAATCCAATGGTGCTTCCTTGTGATCTATAACATTATGTAATTTTTCTTGGAATGGACCCAGAAATAGGGGTTATATTGGAGGGTGTATGAGTTGGAGAATGCTATTCAAGCACATTTAGTGCATGTAACAAGTCAGAAATCCAAGTACATGCACCTACTGCATTGCCCAAAATAGTGAGTCAATTTGATGGATTGAAACTCCAATTGCTCTTTCTCATTTTTCACATGCGCATTGGATGCATATATCTCATATTGAAGTTCCTTTGAAAAGCAATACAAATTTGCACATTTAGGGGGTATTCTATAGCACAAATGCTTTTGTTTTTGAAATCACCACATCAGAAAAAAGTTTTTGAACTCTTTGTTTTGAAAGCCAGAAAAACAGCACATGTTTGCTTTTGCAAGTAACTGATCACAATTAAAATATGTGATCAGCATTATCCCTTTGATTCTCCTTTGGGTGTTTTAGAAAGAAAGATGCAAGCATATTCATGAAGCTGAAGATCTCTCTACCCTTTTATTAAGAAAATTACTAAATGGTTCGTGGAGATAAGTTCTATACAAAAAGCTCCTATTGAGAAAGATAAGGATTCACTTGCTCTTTATGTTTTTGAATATCCTAATAAAAACCCCTTTAGTTCAAAAAATTAGATGAGTTGTAGAACACCCTCCACGGGGACGGAGAGAGCACACCCCACCCCAAAGGGAGTTCGGCTTCGGTCAGGGCAAAGCCCGTTCGAGCAACTTTTACCGCCTTACATTAAGAATATCTCCATACTCATGTACGAGTTTGCTCTTACCACGGGGACCCGATCCTCTCCCCGTGCGATCCCCACTAAAATATATGCAATGTTTATATATGTATATATGTATATATGTATATATGTATACATACGTTTATATATTAGTATTTTAAAATGTGTTTAAATCTTTTCTAATAGGATTGTAAACTTTAATTATTTTATTTTTATTTTCTTAAATAAAATAAAAAAATGGTTGACATTATAAAAATCACAGAGAATGGGGATTCTCGTGGGGATGGGGATAACCTTGTCCCCGTAAGTGGGGACAGAGACGGGGAGAGGGAT